ACCTGCTCGGTGGCTCTTCTCCTGCAATGCCTGAGGACAGTGCCCTGCTTCCTTACTGCGCTCGATGCTTTGCAGGCTTGGAGAGCAGTGAGCACATGTTGTATCCTGTACGTGTCCCTTCCAGTGCCCACACACAAACTGCTCTGCCAAGGCCTGTTTACGGATGTCTTTGCTTGTGCTTTCTGCAAGGCGGGGAGTGCCTCGCTCTTGGCGTGTGGCAAGTCTACAGCTGCAAGAACAACCTGACAAACGGATAGAGGGAGATCAGTAATGATCATGGTGTTCCTACAATATTTCCCCAGCTAGTTCAGTCCAGCCAGCATTGCTAGTAAGCTGTGCTGTGGCCCTACGCTGCTCTCTGTTGTAATATCCCAGGTCATAGTAGAGACTGCTCTGAGTATTGGAGATCGATAGCTTCATAGGAAGGACTTTCTGAAGCGGATCCTGTGCCTGAGTGAGGGGGATATAATGATCAGGCTGTTCTTTGAGGGGTTAGCCTGTGCACTGAGTCCCTGGCCTTGGCTCTGTTTCAGGCTCATCTGCCCTTCGCTGTGGTCGGCAGCACGGAGGAGGTGAAAGTTGGGAACAAGCTGGTGAGAGCTCGGCAGTACCCATGGGGAGTGGTGCAAGGTAAGGTGCTGCGAGCCAGGAACCCACCATAAACCTCCCCTGTGCATGCACGTGCACACGCTGGCATGCACGTGCCCTGTGCTAAACGGTGCAGAAACGTCCTGTGCAGCCTTTTGTGGGTTGGCCAATCTTTCCTTTGGATTTCCGTTCCTACCGGCCAGTAGTGGTCAGTGGGAATCCCTGCACCCAACGGGCTCTGTTGTGCCCTGCGTGGGACAGCAGGTAGATGTCCTTGGGAGTCTGGAGTTAATCTTTATGTGCATTTGTCTTCCCCCACCATGTGTGCAGTTTGCTGACTTCTCCCTTTGCTTCCATCAGTTGAAAATGAAAGTCACTGTGACTTTGTGAAACTGCGGGAAATGCTGATTCGCGTCAACATGGAGGATCTTCGGGAGCAGACTCACACGCGTCACTATGAGCTCTACAGGAGGTGCAAACTGGAGGAGATGGGCTTCAAGGACACAGATCCAGACAGCCAACCCTTCAGGTAAGTGGCCTTCGCATCTAGCATCAATTTAGAACAATAGTTTGGTACTGACACCCCCCAAAAATGGGAGGTTTGTAGGTGGTATCCACAGTGCTGGGCTGGAAGACACTAGCACCACGTTTGAAATTTGCAGCTGACTTTGGTGGCGTTCCCTTCCATGCCTGTTTGTCTTTAAGCAACGCAGACAGGCGTGTGTTTCCCCATCCCTAACTCATTGGTGTCCAAAGAGTCTGGATTTCATTTGCTTTCTTCCCCAGCCTCCAAGAAACATATGAGACCAAAAGGAAAGAGTTCTTGGGTGAGCTCCAGAAGAAAGAGGAAGAAATGAGACAAATGTTTGTTAACAAAGTCAAGGAGACGGAGGCAGAGCTGAAGGAGAAGGAGAGAGAGGTGGGTGTGCCAAAAACCTGTGAGAGCAGCCCAAAATACAGCCAGCATAGGATCTGGGTCTGGGCAAGATATGAATCCTGGAAAGCACATGCAGCTCTTGAGCAGACCTCACCAGCCAAAGCGCGCGCGCGCACACACACACACACACACACACACACCCCCACCCCTCCTTCCCCCAGGGTGATGCAGGACGTTTTGGTGAGCATCCGTGTCAGATAGGCTTCACCCCTGGTGGCTCACTGGACAGCAGAGTCAAGAGGGCAGCTGGCTGGAGTCCCCCGGGTCAGTGGTATGGGCAGCTGCCATAACTGGGGAGGAAATAAATGAACTATCTTCAAAACTAGTGAGGAATGAAAGAGCCCACCATGCCCGCAGCCCCATGGCAGGGCTGCAGAGCAAGCGGAGATCCTCAATGCACTTCTCCAGGGCTCACGCTTTCTCCTGTTTGGTATGTGCTGTCAGGCAGAGCTGAATTTATTGTCTTCACTGCTTTTGGTGAAGAGGCTGTGATCACCCAGAGGTCAGCTCTGCCGAGGGGCTTTGCACGGTGCAGGGGCGCTGGCTGCCATACCCCACCAGCTGGTCAGTCTCTGTGGGGTGATGGGGATTTGTGCGGGAGGTGCGACTGCAGCGCCGGCGGGAGTGCAGCCTGACTGTCGTGCTGGATGTGATGCTCAGAGGCTCTGTCTCCTATCAGCTGCATGAGAAATTTGAGCACTTAAAAAGGATACACCAGGAAGAGAAAAGGAAGGTGGAGGAGAAGAGGAGGGAGCTGGAGGAAGAAATGAACGCCTTCAACAGGCGGAAAGTAGCAATGGAAACCTTGCAGTCCCAATCCTTGCAGGCTACCTCACAGCAGCCGCTGAAGAAGGACAAAGACAAGAAAAAGTAAGTGAGTCTTTCTCCTCTGCTGCTGAGAAGCTGGGTGTCTGCTCAGATGCTTTAATGTTTGGTCAATTGCTTAGACAGCAAATGGAAAAGGGATTTTGGAATCCTAATTCCTACCCTTCTGACTCTGCCTAAAGTGGAGGAGACTCAGGGTCCACCCATGCCCGGGCACTGTCCTGGGGAGGCCCTTGTGGCTGCAGGTGGGAGGGATTTGCAATTTGGGGTCATTCTCTAAAGGCTGAGGGTCCTGTGGGGTTTGCCCTTGCCTCTGTGACAGCCAGCTCAAGGGATCCTGTGAGCCATCTGCTCCTGAAGACAAGACAGGAAGATGACTAGAAATAAGCTGCACCTCCTCCCCAGCAGAGAGGAGTGGGGACAATCTTGACACAGTTGTAATGTCTTACAGATGAGGTTCCCCATCATGCGCTACCTCACTGCAATCTGTAGGCTTGGGGTCCTCTTTGGAGAGTGCTCTTACTTTTATTTTTAAAGGCAGAGCTGTAAAGAAGGCAACAGCAGCTTAGGGTGAAAATGCATTGGAAGTTAGGGCTCGGTGTGAAATAGGCTCCAAGACAGTTCTGCTTACGAGAAAGCTATTTTCCCCTAAAGGCAGAATTCTTATGCTTGCTTGCTGCAAGTTAATTGACATCGCTGCAGCCAGCAAGAGTGTGGAGGGCGGGCATGTAAATGATGCTCTTTCAGCTGCCTGGCTGTGTAGGGATGGAGCCGGAATGGGCAAACGGGCTGAAGAAGAAAAGGTGGTGGTGGTGGGGTGATCCTGTTTCCATTCAAGCCAGTCTTCAAGGAACACTGGCTAGGGAGCAAAATGAGAAGTGCTATCATGCAAGCTGGTAATTCTGTTATTCCAGCATTTTTTGTTACTTCCCCTTGCGTGAAGGAGCTTGAGTCTGAACTGCATTCTGTCAAATCCAGAACAGGCTGGTGGCAATGCTTTCTGAGCCTTTTAATGATGAAGAAAAGACCATCGAGAGTAGCAACACCTGAGTTTGCTCTTGACAGTACAACATTCAGCTTCATGTTGCTGATGAGATCTTGTGCTCTGTCATTTCTCTGCTGTGAACTGCAGCACTAGAGAAGCTCATCCTGTGTGCTGACATGCTAGTAATTTGTTTCTTCCTATGAAAGATGGCAGTGCGTATTATTTAACGTATTTCTTTGGAAGGTAAATGTGTTGGTATTAAAACAAAACCAAAGCACTCCCTTTTGCAGACCTCTTAGCATGCTCTGGGCGTGTCCCACCTCACGCAGAGTGTCCAAAATGCTTTGTAAAATATTTTGCTGAAAATAGCTTAATTCAGCTAAACTCACACATGAATTTAGGGGCTGAATACCGGGGCAGCCTGGGGCCCAGGTCTGCTTTGAAGAAGGTGAGCATGCCAAGCCACATACTGGTAACTTGCATGAGGGATGCCAGTTGCTGGGATGCTCCGGCAGTGATGTACTCTGTGTGCTGGCCAGGCGGAAACGCTGCAGCTTCCCCTCTGCTCCGTCTGTCTGCGATAGAAATAGGTTTCCTGTGCTTTGCTGGTTTTAGCCCACCTGCAGACATGAGTCTGGACGCCCTTCCTCATCTGGGTGGTGATCAGAAACCGGCTGCGGCCAGAAGCAGGGCCAAGAAAAGGCAGCTTGGGTGGTATACAAGGACCAAGAGGCACCCACGGCGCATGCTCTGCACGGTGGGGACCCCCGTACAGTGGTGGATACCCCCATGCGATGGTGGAGCAGGGGGGCTACCTTCAGCTCCAGAGCACGGCTAGGGGAGGTGCATCCTCACCAGGAATAAAATTCATAAATTAGGGAGAAGAAGTGGGTTTGGTCTGGGTTTTGGTGTGTGTGGTGGGTTTTGGGGTTGTTTTTTTTTTTTTGCTGGTGACCTGTTTTCCCAGACCCCCTCTTCATCTGGGAGGCGTCAAAAGGAGCGGGGGGGGGGGCACG